GGAACCCACCCTCAACCAGACCGGAGGCTGCCTCTAGGCTTTCACCCTCTACTTTTGCATTCGATCATTGAGGAAGTTTGCATCCGCCTTACAAAAAAAGTCTGGGAGCCCGACGTACTCCAGGCTCCTGCCTCTTTAAAATTTTCTCCCACTTTTCATCCCACGGATCAGCAGATCCTGTGAGTTTCATCTGCAGAGTGGATTCAGAAACTCACCCCTCGCCTCCTCCATGCCCCATCCAGTGGCGCCTGCCTCAGTCCTCTGTCCTTTCCCAGTCGAGTCGGATTAGCGTCCTCTCCTGGCTCCTTGTTTCTTTTTCTGTCAGCCCCTCCCCGACCTGCAGGCACCTTCTGCCCAGGTACCAGAACATCCTGCTAAAATGTGTGTCAGATCCAAGTCAGCCCACTCAGATACTCCCAAAGAGCCAAAGTCCTCCCCAGCCTGCCAGCTGCCACCCACAACCTCTGCCTTTGTCTCTGACACCCTCACTTGGGATCGCTGCACTCAAGCCTCACTGGCTTCAGGGTTCTGGAACAACTCAGCCTTTTGGAATCTGCTGATTTAGAATTTTTCCATAGGAAGAGGTTTCTGGTGACGAATGTTCATACTTTTTCTTTAAAAAAAAAAAACTTTATTTAGGGCTGGGGTTGTGGCTCAGTGGGAGAGTGCTCTCCTACCATGCATGAGGCACTGGGCTCGATCCTCAGCACCACGTAAATGTAAAATAAAGATATTGTGCCCACTTAAAACTAAAATAAATAAATAAAAATTTTTTTAAAAAACTTTATTTAGACTTTTTTTTTCTTTTGCTACTGGGAAGTGAACCCAGGGGTGCTTAATCACTGAGTCACATCCCCAGCCCTTTTTATTTTTTGTTGTTGTTTTGAGACAGGGACTGGTTGAGTTATTTCAGGGGCTCCCTAAGTTGCTGAGGCTGGCCTGAACTTGCGATCTTCCTGCAGCAGCCTTCTAAATTGCTGAGATTACAGGCAAGTTGCTGAGATTACAGGCTTGCGTGCACCACCATGCCTGACTCCTAAACCTCCTTCTTGAATGAGTTTTTAGCTGGGTGTGGCTGKTTTTTTCAGACTCTTGAAAAGGTACATTCCATTGTCTTTCCTGATTTCCACAAGGGCTGTTGACATTATCTGTCAGTCTGATAAATAAGGAACAGACAGATGAGGGTGGTGGGAACACAAAGTTAAGGGCCCCCTGCGCTGACCCCCACGGGCTTTCTTTTCCCTGCAGCCTGCCTGGCTTAGGTGGACAGGCTCTGTCACATTCCTCAGCAAACTACCTGTTGTCTGCAGGAGAAATGCAGGCCCAAATAATGTTGAATAAAGGAACCAAATTACCCTGAGGGGGAGACTTTTGGAACCCTTTTCACAGACTGGACCCTGAAACTCAGGGAAATAAGCATAATTCCTAGTGATCATAAAACCTGTAAGAATGCATGGCTAAGAATCCAATTAGAACCTGTTGGTATGGACTAAAGTGACCTAGAGTTGCCATGGCAGTGGGGACTTGAAAGTGTGATGTCATGCTGCTGTCAGTCAAAAGCCAAGAGGTGGATCTGGGCAGACTCTCTGGAATCTCCAAAAAACTGGAGTGCAGGAGAGGCTCCTTGTCCCTCTGTGTCCCCTTTCTCTTTTCCTATCCCTTCAATAAACTCATTCCTGTGACTCTGAGCAACATGTCTGAAGTCTTCCTGACTTGATTGCAGAATCAGGATTTGAAGGGGGACTTCGTGCTTCTTTAGTTTCCCGGAAGGCCCCAGTCCTGTAACATAACTGTTCTTCCTTTCACATCTTTATTGGGATATGGTTTATATACCATAACATTTGCCCACTTACGTGTACACTTTAATGGGCTTTAGTACATTTACAGAGTCGTTCACCCATTTCCACAATCTAATTTCAGAACATATTTATCACCCCAAAAGAAACCCTGAATTCATCAGCATACATGTCCACTTCCCCATCCTCCGCCCCCCATGTGCTTATATAATTTTGTCTCTACAGAAGTTACCTACTGTAGACTTTTTTTTTTTCCAGTACCAGAGTTTGGACCCCAGAGCGCTCTACCCCTAGTTACATTTATTTTGAAGAAGGATCCTGCTAAATTGTCCRTTTTACACCTTGGCTGGGGTCCACTGTTCCAAAGAGGGGCTGAAATGAGCTTTCAGTCCCCAAAGAGTCAGGATTTCTCTAAATACAGGGGTTCTCCAACTTGGATGCTCAGTAGCATCACCCTGTGAATTGGTTAAGATGCAGAACCCCCAGATGTTCTGATTCGGGAGGTCTGGGGAAGGTGCAGGAATCTGTATCTAAACAAACACCCTGGGGATGGATGCTCCAACCAATGGCATTTAAGAAATTCTGTTCTGGGCCAGAGGAGGTGCCACACATCTGAAATCCCAGATACTTGTGAAGCAGACCAGAGACCCCCACCCAGAGGACCCTTACCACAATGAAGCAGAAACCCCCATCATATTTGTAACATATATATTCCTCTTCTTGTCAGAATATCAGCAAAAATTTTGACAAAAAATTCAGTGTTGGGGCTGGATTTGTG